AATTCATTTAGTTACGCAAGTTGACATAAACAAAGTGACATTTTTATCCCCATTAAATGGTGAGGGGCTGCCTGGGGCTATTCCCCTCTGCCTTAGGTCGGTAAAAGGCAAATAAAAAGGCTTCTCTGTAATAGAAATGTTCTCATGTAAGAGTTATGGAAACTCTATAAACCATATGCGAGGTCAAAGACACTTCTGGGGATCCTCCCATAAAGGAAACACGAGATGGTTTGTTTTTATCTTTAATCGAGTTGGACTGTATCGACTCGGATTAAATGAGTGGCGTGTCGTGGGAAAGGGTGTGCGGCCGAGAGGTGTAAATTACACTCCAGGCCTAGATCGTGTTAGCACATTTGTCTGATGATTGGCATTTTTCCAGCACCTCCCTCTTATATAAACCCGTGAATCTGAAAAAAGCGAGAGAGCAAAGAAGAATGGAGAGTAGAAAATTGGCACATGTTTTTTGCTGGGTCAGCATGGCCTGAAAATACATAATCCTCGAGGGGCAGCAAGGTTCCAACTTATACACTTTCTCACAATGGTTACAATCTCCAAGTTTGGCTCACACCTCTAAACCTATTCACACACTCTTTTACAGATGACGAATGTTTTTACTTGTCAACTGTCTAGAATGTTTGACCTGACGTTTCCCAGCTTGTAGGCTGAGAGTTCATGTTGTGTCATGTAGAGAAATATTGGTCAGGATACCATTTGGTGCGGTCATGGTGTTCTGTAAAAAAGGCACGTTTCAGGGAAATGCACAATTTTCCTTGAAACTTGTTTCCTTTTAAGGTAGGATGGCAGTCTTTTGGAATTTTTTTGCCCAGTCACACGGTGAGATCCATCATCTGGGGGAATCCCATAATCTGATGCTGGTCATTAGGGCTTTTGCCATGATGCTGCTCCACATAAGCATAGCAATTAGCAGTAAGGTTGTGGATTAGTTTATGAACTCATTTCAGTTTTGTATGGTAGATTACTTTATGCTACATCATTTTGAATGTACAGTACTGTGCAAAAGTCAGAGACAACCCTTCATTTATTTAATTTCCCATCTGTACCTCAGCAGCAGTATTCTAGCCTGTGTTTACACTTCAGTACAGTGTGTATGTGGGAGAATATTATTAGCTAGCTCAATGCCTTCCCTGATTCCCCATCTTCTCAATCTCTATTTTGTATTCATTTATTCCCTTCTCTGTGTTCCTCACCCACCCCCTTTTCTCTCTCTCTCTTCTTTCTCGCTCTCTAATGCATTAATGTTGACTTGGAATCAGTTGGGTCAGTGAAATTGATCCAGGCTGTTTCTCCTTCAGAATATCTCTCTGATCTCAAATCTGCTTCTGCTCTCCACATTTCTAATCAGCTCTCCTCTCCTCTAGTCAGTCTGCCCTACAGGCCAAATGCCTGCTCTTCAGGCCATGTATTTTTCAGCAGTAAGCCCAACACTACAGTCACTGACAGAAAGAGAGAAATATTAAAGACACCAGTCAAGGTGGGACTGAGTGTCCTGGTGTTTGTTATTATTCCAGATCTGCAGTCCAGTATATAAAACCTAAATTGTATCATGTTTGATGTAAAGATAATGACTAAAGGTCCATCATGGAAATTCTCAACCCCAACTTTATGCAGACACACATATGTAACACATACCAACCTCGTCTGTCTGTACGTGGGTGTATATCCAATCTTATTGAAAAATACCATGATAGGAAACAGAGGATTCCATACAGTATACGTTTAGGTAACTGGGGACATCTGGCCTTATATGGTAAGCCAGTCCTGCTCTGAGACAGCAAAAACAGTAGGCTGTGTTTCTTTTTTTTTTAAGTGCATTTCAAGATCCTCCAAAAAGAGGTCAGAAAAAGAGAAGCGGAGAGATTGGTATACATAATTCCATCTGTTTTTCTCTTTAACTCGAATGTCTTGGAAGTTACAGTAGAGCGACTGTATAATATGAAATGAAATTCACTGCAAGAAAAACAGCCAGTGTTCTGCCTAATCCTGCTGCTTACAGCCATAAGGATTTTCATGTGCGGTTTCCATGGGCGCTGACTGCAGACTGCTGTCCTTTCAGAGCTGCATGTCCCTGATACACAATACAGGTTTTGAAAACTGCTGAAAGCTTTTAGTTCACAAGTGGTATGTCTTGAGAGTGGGCTTGTGAGTGGCGTGACCTCCATTTCTACATGATGAAAGTGATGGTCCTTGGTGGCATCTTCTGCTCTTCTGTTAGCTGGCTTTTTGGAGCTTGCTCCTCCCACTATACTGGAGTATCTATGCTAACCTAGTGTTGAAGCATTACTCCCCACAGCAGTGTGAGCATCCTTTAGCTGCTTGTCTCTGTTTTTAGTTGGGCTGTTCGATCAAGCTCCTTTCTATCATTCATATACAGCTTTATCTATTTATCTCACTCTCTTACTTCTGTGATTGTACATGTATTTCTATATGTATGTAGGTATAATACATAAGCATCTGTATGTATGTAAAATCTTAATCTGATTGTATTGCATATGTAACTGTTGAAGTTGAGAAGATAAACACTGCTATTTGTTTTTAACCCTATTAATGCATTTTCTAGGTATGTTGCAATGGCAGAGTGTGCCACTGAAGCCCTCTTGCTCAAATACAGCTTTTACATGGCTTTTAAACCAAAACCTTCAGCAGTCTATCCATGATGAACCGACAAATAGAAACAGTCCAAAATTACTTAGAATAAAATTGTTGCAAATCACATTCAAATTTAAGAATGTTTAATTCTTCTCCTCTAAAGTTTTCTTTGGAGATGCAAGATTTTGTTACACAATAAGTGTGTACATCCTTACATACTTATTACATGCTAAGGCTTATTATTCAGTTACTACAGGGACTTTAGTGAAACTAGCTGAAAAACAGCTCCCCTTATGAGTCTCCACCTTAACAAGAATCTGTGAGCTGGATGAGCGATGTACTGAGACCACACTTTTGTTTATTCAGTTTCCAGTCAAAACAGTCTTTAAGTACAAGTTATTCATTTTTCAGAAGATGTTTCTGAGGAGATTACATATAAATGAACCCACTTGTATAATGAAGGAGGAAGTCAAAGGAAAATAAGTGAAAAAACAGGAGTTTGAAAAACTGGAGATTAAAAAATGATTAAAAGATACAGAGAAAACAACCGAGACTCCAAACAACCGTGCAAGAACTGGTAGACCATCAAAACTGTCCCCATCAGATAAACAGCACTTGAAACTTTCATCTGTGATAGAGAGGAGAAAGTCAAGCTCCACTCTTACTTTAGATCTGAAAAAATCCACAGGTGTTTCTGTCCATCCTTCCACTGTGATAAGCAACGATAAGTATCTACATGTATGTAATATCTTAATCTGATTGCATATGTAACTACTAGGGCTGTAAAAGTTAACCCCTTAAAATCCAGACTTATTACATACTAAGGCTTGTTATTCAGTTACTACAGGCAGGGACTTCAGTGTAAACTAGCTGAAAAACAGCTCCCCATATGAATCTCCACCTTAACAAGAATCTGTGAGCTGGATCAGCAAGAGGAAGAGGCAACAATCGCAGTGGAGTTGAACTGTTGACTGTTATACACTCCTTGGATATAACATGCAGACACTGTTGGTCTCACCAGACGTTGGTGATAAAAAAAATGGAACATATGAAAATAATGTCATTCAATTATTGAACGTAATAAATTAATTGTGATGCTCTGCTTTTTACCACTTATAATTTAGGGAACCAAGAAATTAAGAAATGTTTCTGTGTCCTTAACTGTACCAGGCTTCAGAAGGAGCCAAGTGCAGAGGCTGCAAAATCAATCTACAGTGCAGGTCATGCTTGTGTAAGCACGGGTTAGGTCCAGCATTTGCAGTCTGGTCTGACTACGACTGCAGGGAGCAAAACAGGGCACAGAAAATGTATGTGTTTTCCACGGATGTAATAGGATGTAAGGTACTATCATAAGACACCGCACTCACAGTGAGAATCACAGTATGTGTCACAAGCAGTAGTAGTTTAGCAGGCATGCTGTAGGCTGGTGTATCTTGAATTTGGGAAAGGCAAACTGCACAGTCTGCAAATCCAGAAATCTTCTACAGCTGTGAGCTATAACAGCTCGGTACAGTTCAGCCTCTGCCAGGAACCACTAGCCTCTCTCTCTCTCTCTCTCTCTCTATCCTGCTCTCTCTTGACTGCTAGCCCTCCATAATGCCAATGGAGCTCATGATTCCTTTATGAAGCATTCATTTTTTAATACCGCACACATCTGAAAATCTGTCCTCTTTTCTACATTTTTTTAATGCTTTAGTCATGTAGCCAGCGAAGCATCATATCTTCCATTTATCCAATAAGCTCCTGTGTGCTATCACAGGAAATTAAATCGTCACCACCACTGCCATCCTTTATTAAATTGAGATTCATGAAATCAATCATACCTCTCTCTAGAGAGGTTATGAAAGTAGACATATAGTAGAGATGTTTTACAGTAGAGCTTGAAATATTTGTCCAAATGGGATTTGACTCTCCACATCATCATTTCTGAAATATTTGTCATGTTGGGTTCAAGCCCACCTTTAGTCTAAAGGGCAAACCGAATTTTCCTCACTTTCTTAAAATAAAGTTTTATGGTGTATGGTGTATTCTTAAGTTGTATGGTGGACCAAAATGTACTGTTTACTCTCCAATCCATATAAACTAAATATGGAAATTAAGCTGTAAAAATGACAAATTTTGAACTCACTGATGTCACACAAAGCATCATATTTACATTACATATCTATTCAGCCTATAACAGCTAAGCATCACTCATTCATGTTGAAGTTATAAGGAGTGTTTCAGCTTTGGCTGCTCTTGAATGAGGCACGATGCAGGAGAGTCAGTTAAAACAGAGCTAACACAAAAGTAAACATGAAAGAAAAAACTGCAAAATTATTGTTATATTGTATATAATTTGTTTGCATGGATTGCAAACAGTTAATTCAGCTGTTTTCTCCCACTTTCTTCAGGTTGATCTGGGTTTCCTACGCTTTGTCTCAGCTATCGGAACACAGGGTGCTATCTCTCAGGAGACCAAGAAGAAGTACTTCGTGAAGTCCTACAAAGTGGATGTGAGCTCCAACGGTGAAGACTGGATCACTCTGAAGGAAGGCCCTAAACAGAAGGTACAAAGCCCTCTATGGACAATCCTCACCCTAGCGTATTTTACATTGTTGACCATTACATTATATGTTGCCAGTACACCGAAAGTGTCAGAAAATGATATATGAGAGGATATGATCCTGCCAGAAGAAGTTTTGGCACCCTGCTTCATTTTCTTTATTTAGCCAGTAGAGTTCATTGAGGTCTCAAGGCTCCTTTCCAGGCAGCCCTGCAGTACATCAGAACAATAGACATGTGGAACAGCCTATGAATCTAGACCATTGCAGGAGCTTCTCAGTCCTAGCTTTAAGTAGTAGTATAGCATGAGTGTTAATCTTGAGGAGACTGCAGTGCAGAACATCATGCCCACTTAAGTTTCTCAGGCTCCATTATTCCCCCAGCTTGGAATGCTACAACTCTCAGAGACTGAATGCATTTACAAGTGCAGTAAAATCAGATGAAAAACAACTCCAAAGCAACCACAGAAGCCGGAGAGACTCAGGGAACTCTTTTTCTTTTTTTTTGTGAGGAGTGATGTCAACATTTGTGGTAAAGATTTCTTCACCAAAGGATGAAAGAAAAGAACAAAGGAATTAATAAACAACGAAGGAGTGGAAAAAAGGAGTGTGTGTGTGTGTGTGTGTGTGTGTGTGTGTGTGTGTGTGTGTGTGTTTAAGCAGCTAATGTTATATAAGAGCCATCAAGTGAATGTGTATATGCTGCTTTTGTCTGACGATGAATTTCAACGTTAATTACAACTGTTAAGCTGGCTGGGAGTTTAGCATTAGGTTTAACATGAAAATTTGTTTTACATACACAGTACTATGCAAAACTGAGAGACCACACTTTTGTTTATTCAGTTTCCAGTCAAAACAGTCTTTAAGCACAAGTTATTCATTTTTCAGAAGATGTTTCTGAGGAGATTACATATAAATTAACCCACTTGTATAATGAAGGAGGAAGTCAAAGGAAAATAAGTGAAAAAAAAAGAGTTTGAAAAACTGGAGATTAAAAAATGATTAAAAGATACAGATAAAATAAGACTCCAAACAACTGTGCAAGAACTGTCACAATCAGATAAACAGCACTTGAAACTTTCATCTGTGATAGAGAGGAGAAAGTCAAGCTCCACTCTTACTTCAGATCTGAAAAAATCTTTGAAAAACTGAAAGCAAGTCTCTTGAAAAGAATGGAAGCTGTAATAAAGGCAAAGAGTGGACACACTAAATACTGAAAAATTTGATATTACATTCATTCATTGAGGCTTCTGTGTAATTTTATGTTAAATATCTCTATATCTTGAAATAACTCTTAAATAAAAAAGGGGATCTCTGACTTTTGCACAGTACTGTAGGTAATTACATAAATATATACATATGGGCCATATAATTGTTCCTGTTATTACATGTAGGTATACATGTGTGTGTGTGTGTGTGTGTGTGTGTGTTTGAGAGAGAGGGAGAGAGAAAGAGAGAGAAATCTCTTCTGCGTGTAAACCCCTAGGCCCAATTTCTTTCCTGACCGCCCACCAAAATCCACAATTCTCCTTTTAAAGCCTGTGCCCTAAGGTTAGGTTCTGACGCCTCTCTCTCTCTCTGTTTCCCTCTCTCTATCTCTTTCCCTCTCACTCTCTCTCTCTCTGGGTGCTCTAAAGTGCTTTTGTGAGGAGGGGGCCCATTTGCAGACCGCTGAGGTTGCAGCTTGCCTCTGTGGTTGCTGCTCTGAAAAAGCCTTTTAATAGTTAGTGCAGTCGAATGGAGCATCGGCGTGACATTTAAAGAGAGTGGATGGCTCCTTGTGTTCCTCTCTGTCTCGTGCACACATCTGACAAGCCGTGCCCAGGGACCGGATAGCAACAAGGAGTGCAGAATGGGCTAATGGTGGTATGCCCTGACTGGCTCTCGCTGCTGACTGTGCAGGAGCTATTCTCTGGGTACTGGATCGGGATGTGACACACACATCCACTGTTACAGTCTCTTTAAATACATCTACAGACTGTGTACCGTATACAAGTGTACAGAATAAAACACCTCTCTGTGCCAAGGGATTATACTTATCATCATGTCAGCAGTGACATTCAGATGGGCCACTGAGGTTCGATTCCCCGCCTAAGCATGCTGACCATGATAAACCAATAAGACTCACTGAGTAAGACTCATAATGCTACTTTCACCTACCTCTGTTACATGATTGTATTGTAAGTTGCTCTGGGTAAGAGCACCTAGTAAATGCTGTAAATATTGAATCAAACTTTTTCAGTTTGTTTTTTACATCATTTGAAGATGCGAGCTGGTATTTAGATTGAACATCCTGCCACACACAATAGTCAGTGCTGATACCCAGATGGAAAATACACAATGCAGAAATAAGACATTACATACAGTCATATACAACAGCTTGAACACCACTGGACAAACTACATGTTGATTTTCTAAGTTAGCACATCCTCTACAGGGAAAATATGGCATTAAATATGGCATTTTTATGTAATTTTTTATTTTTATTACACAATTTTTATTTATTTTTATTTTATTTAAGTTTTACATACAGGAAAAAAATAAAGCATAAAATATAAACGTGCCACAACATTTGCACAGGCCACATTTTGTGATTGTTTTCCACTATATTCAATTCAGCAAATAAACACTATTGCGCACTAAAATGTGTTCTCTGTAGAGAATGTGTTAATCCCTTAAAATCTCAGACTTATTACATACGTAGGCTTATTATTCAGTAACTACAGGAACTTTCAGGGCAAATTTAGTTGAGCTATTCTTCGGTTATAGAAGTGTGTAAATAAAACTTTGGGCCCACTGATGGGCCCTGGCCATTTAAGTGTTAAGTTAGACACTAGAAAATCAATAAAACCTGTCATTTGTCCAGGAGTGCCTGAATGTTTGCTGTAACTAAGTGCAATTCCATAATATTCAGTGTTCATTTAAATGCTTTTCGAAGAGATTTCTCTTAATTCTGCTCTTAAAGACAGTGAGGGACTTGGCTCTTCTGACAGTAGAAGTTTGTTCCACAGAGAAGAGTCGTGATGCTTGTCTTTCATGTGTCTTAAAAGATAGTAAGTAAAGCAGAGCTGCAACTGGAGCTCAAGCAGTGTGAGGTACGGACCAAGTTTTAACTGTCGCTGTGAGCTGGCTATCATAGCATTTGAAGCAACAGCAAGCATGAAGAAAAGGCAAAAAAGATTCAGGGGCCTCCTAAACAGAAACAGAGGGAGAAAGAGAGAGAGAGCGAGGCATGAATTCAAACACGTTTCTCTGCCCTTGATTCTATTCAGCGGCCCATAGTGTCTTATGAAGCGACTTCATTTTTTTCCCCTCTAAACCCTTCCCCTTCACTCTGGCCCAGTGCTGGGCTTCCCTTTCTAACTGAACACACTTTAGCTGTCAGTGCAAACTAGAGCTAGGAGACACAACAATTTGTGACAAAGCCACTAAATGAGCTGCTCTTGGTACAGCGACCCCATGGACAGCCCCATAATTGGAGAGGGTTTGGAACCTCAGTGCGTCTTTTGATCTGCTGACACACAGCACAAAGCAGCCTCTGTAGCCTCTGCAGCTGCCTCTTTAGATAGCTCATAGAGTCCATAAACATAACCAGTATTGCATTATCATTTCTGAGGGAGCTGCCCTGAATGCAGTCCAGTCTGGCTGCTGTGTTTCTTGGGCAGGAAGCTAAGCGAGCTGCAGGCTTCAAAGGCCTGTCCTTCGGTGAAGCCTCTACAGAAACCTCTTGAATAATTTATGTGGATTTTGTTGTTTGTCTGTCAGGTTTTCCAGGGCAACACTAACCCTACGGATGTGGCCAAGACCTTGCTGCCCAAGCCCACACTGACGCGCTTCATCAGGATCAGACCCTTCACCTGGGAAACGGGCATCGCATTACGCTTTGAGGTTTACGGCTGCAAGATTTCAGGTGGGTTTACACTTCTTCACTTACTCTTTCCAAAGCTTATCATGCTTGCAGAACCTGGTAAGAAATTAATGTAGTAACATGGACATTAACATTTAATGCAAAATAAGCCAATATTCAGTCAATATTTTAAATCAAGCAAATATTCAGTTAATACTTTAACCCATTAAATGACCAGAACCTGCTGGAGGGTCCAGATTTCTGTTGCACAGTCCTATAACTTCTTTAATAGTATGCCAGTTTAAATTGCTTTCCATGTAGTTATTGAACCTTAGGTTGTTATACGTTCAGGGTTTTAAGGGCTTGAATAAAAATAAACGATGGAACTCAATACTTTGCCTTTACAAGGTAACACACTCATTTATGTACGGTGTCCTTGAGAGCCTTGAATCTGAAGCTTTAGCATTAGTTAGAAAAGATATAAATTAAAACATTAGCAGTGTAGACTTAGAAAAACACTATATTTAGCAATTATATTTGAAAATGCCCGGCAAATACCCATAGCACATCACTGCACACACTCAAAATGCGATGGTAGATAAACCTAATAGATTATAGTCTATTGAAAACAATATCAGTGCCTGGCAGTTGAGGTTGAGTTTGTTCAGTTTGCCTTAGCTTAAAAGGCTTTTGTTGGTACAACTGTGATTTGTCAGGCACATTGTTTATATGTAATGATGTTAAATCAAATGTGTTTGTATTGAGTGTTGAGCACAGAAGCAGTACGTGGTGAACGAGCTCCTCTATAAGGCTATAAATCTCTCACACACTTAGTTTACGTTTCACTCACACTCCTGGCATGTGTTTATTCGCCATGCTGAAAGGTGTAAGCGTGTGTGGGTTCTTTTTTTCTGTGACTCAATATGGAGGGCGGGGGTGGGGAGGGAGCTGTTGCATTATAGACGAGCGGTCATGTGAGAAAGAGGATTACATATTTATGTTACTCTGTTTTGGATGTTCTTCATTTAAAATGGATGCCGTCCACAGCAGGCACGGCTGCTCTTCCGAAGTTACGAAGTGTAACCTTCCCACTTTTACTGTCCCCTCTGAACCCAGTAACCCCCCCACCGAGAGCTTCAGCCTCTCGACCTCATATACACACACATACACACACAAACACACACATGTTACTCTCTTATTATAAATGCACGGCTCTTCACCCACCAGTCGCACAGTCCCAGCTGGCCCTGGCCTCATTTGCATGCTCATCTGCATGTTTTGGCATGGCTCCACCCTCTACAGGGCTTTGATTATGGAGGCTTTCATATCATCACCACCTCCCTGCTGAGACGCTTTCCTTTCGTGCATAGAGGCAAAATGAACGTGTGTGGGCTGTCAATTAGGGCCGCACGATACGTTTACAATAAAAAGGTATTGCTTACTGTGTCCGGTGGCTGCAATGACAGAACAGATCACATTATCTCATACACACGAATAACGCAATAGGATTGAAGGGGAAAAAGCGATAGAAGATCAACAAGTTCTTTTCTACTGTTTGGGAACCGTGCTCTCCCACATGGAGAGTGAATAAATTAGCCATTAATAGCTACTGTCACAACAAATTTGCATAACCATAATGGTATGTTTATGAGACTAAATGGAATATATGTATATATATATATATTTTTGTAGCCTTTATAGAAAAAGCTGTACAGTCTTACAGTGCATTAAAATGTAATGTAATGTAAATGTAAATATCTAATACTATTTCATTATTCTTATTTTGCACAGTACACTCTTAAAAAAGGTGGTTCTTCAAGGGTTCTTTAGTAAAGACAGTGCTTCTATATAGAACTATGAACACTCAAAGAACCCTTTGCATGCTTTGCAAATGCTTCTTAGCATTTTTCAAAGGATTCTACAAAGATCCATATACAGCACAATCTCCATCAAGAACGTTTTCACCATGCAAAGAACCATTTAAGCATGCAAAGGGTCTTTGAGTGTTCATGGTTCTATATAGAACTTTTGTCGTTACTAAAGAACACTTGAAGAACCATCTTTTTTTAAGAGTGTAGCATGTCCAGTCAGATGCACATGATATCAATTTTAATTTATCATTTCTCAAATTATCATCAGTATCCAGCAGCTTTAGCTTACATCACATTTTATGTCCATATCATGCAGCCCTGCTACTCAATCTGCTCTGTGCACTTCATTCATAAGTACTTCTATTTTTACACTCTGCATACATGCAGGCATATTTAGTCCCGGTTTGCGTGTCTGTGCATTTGTGTGTGCGCACAATTTGCTGCCATGCTGGAGCGCAGCTGTGGCAGTCATGTTCAGGGCGGGCAAGCGCACCACATTCTGAACACATCACAAGAGCTGGGGCCTCCTCTTGACATCATCAGCGTGCTGCGGGTTCCCTCTGATGATGCAGCCATGCTGGGCGGCTGGCAAGAGGAGAGTTTTGATGGCACAGCTAGCTTACTTAGCATGGTTTGCTAAGTATTGATTCAGAAGCCTCAAAAGAACATTTCGAAAAGCCAATTTGGAGTTTGAGTGTAGGAGGGTGTGCAGTGGTTTCCACAGATGTTTCCTACACAGAGCACATACACATACAAAGTTTACTAAGAGAGGCAATAATGGAATTAACAGAGCATAGGAATGTGCTCTATGCATTCTCCTTATGCCACAGTCTTTCCAAAACAAGGAGTTGATCCTGTCTCTGTCTAGATTTAGTGTATCCTCTCAAAGCCACCCATGTAAGCTGTCACAATATTTAAACCACCCGTGTAAGCTGTGAGCACCTGTCACAGTATAACACAGGAGTCATGTTCTTCAACTGCAGCAGCAGGTTGTAGCTGTGGAGTGTATTCAGTAGAGTTTATGGCCCGGATTCACAAAAGAGTCTTAAAAAAATGTTGTTGTTAACTACAGACCTCAGAAGTTAAGATAAATTTGGTAATTTTTTGAATGTCATGACTCTAAGAAACTATAAATGTATCCCAAACATGTTATAAATCATTTATAAGGCATTATAAACATGAATAAAAGTGCAATACACTTCATGACCACATGTATTTTGCATTTGATTAAGTCGCCTTCTTAAGAAAGATTGTAGCTTACTTAAGAAAGTGATTAAGAAATTCTTAAGAGAATATTTGATATTTATTCTTATTAAATTATTCTTATTCTTAATAAATATTTATTCTCCTCTTACTTTTTGAAATTGCATTTAAGAACATTCTTCTAAACTTCTCCGATCCTTTGTCAGATATTTTTCTTTGGGAAGTTTTTTGTGATTCCATCCCCATGTCTGATAGTCATACCACATCCACACAGCCCTTAATAAACTTCCTCTGGCTGTTTGTAAATAAGGCCATCTGTACGTGCGGCCATCCAGCCTCCGCCCGCTCCACACACCCACCAAGATCGCAGCAGCCGGACCGGCAACTCACGCAACAACACACACACGCGTATGTGTGTCCGCAGCTCTCCGGGTGTGTCCCACAATCACTGCCACCTCAGAAGCTTCCCAAAAAACTTCCCCAAAATCACATCTGAGTTCAATAAATGGGTCTCCGAGACCAAACAAGCCAGTCGTTTCAAAGTGTCCTCTGAGCTGTTCGGAACTGCGTGTTCCAGCTGCTTCCAAGACCTGATATAAAAAGTTAATTCCTTTGACAGGGTTTTATCAGTAATAATATACTTAGAGTCCAACATTGGCAGATGAAGAAAGAGCCCAGTCAGTCTCCTTCATATACACACGTGTGATCATCTTGTGGTAAACGTTTGTTGTCTGAAAACATCAAGCTCGAATTGGGGCCCCTGGGAGTCACGGGCCAGCGCATTTTCCATTCCAAACCTGAACAGGAACTTCCCTCCATGGCCACAAAGGCAATCGCTGTGAATGAAGACTCTGTTCTGCTGGTATTTCACACCGCATTAGGTCCATCTGTGACACGTTCAAAAGCGAATCTCCGACGCTTTCCTGCTCCACAGGATCCGATTGTAGATTACGATATTGCTGGCAGGTCATGAATTCCAAAACCATTTGGAAAAAGTCGAATATGTGGCTGCCAGTGCATGGGCAGCCAGTCGAGCGAAGCTACGCGACTGGAGATTTTCCGTAATCTTGAGACTCTTTTTGTAAAAAGTAGCAAAGCGTGAACGAAAACGGCTCATTACAGAGGCTGAAACAAAGGCAGTGGGTTTAGAAACATGGAGATAGATTACAGACCACGTGAAGGAACATGGAGGGAGAAAAAGAGAACAGGCCAAATGAGAGTGGGGGAATATCAAAGACAAAAGAAAAGGAGGTTGGAGGAGGAGGGAGAGAGGGGCTCGGAGGATGAAAGGTAAGAAGCTGCTCAGATATGAAAGGTAGAGGCAGCCGAGGAGAGGAGAGTTTTAATTAGATGCCTGGAGACAAACACCGCAGGCGAGTGAGTTAATATGCAAGGGGTCAGGAGAGAAAGGAAGAGAGAGAACAGAGGAGAGAGAGTGCGTGCGAAAGAGTGTGAGAGGGAAAGGGGGCATGGTTGCTTATCTCTACGTGCTGTTTCCTCACTCTCTCTGCGGCACTGTCTCTTTGCACTCGCTCTCATTGTTCTCTCCCTCTCTTGCTGCCCTTCTGCGCTCCACGTAGAGTTCCTGCCAAGAATACTTCCAGAGCTCACTGAGACAGCTCTCAACTTTAGGCATCTCCCTCACCATCATGCTCCATCCCTCTCTCTCTTTCCAGCTATCACTCTCTTTTACCAATGAAAAAATGTTCTGCTCTCCCCAGCTGTTGTCGTGACCACTTTTCTTCTGGTTATCCACCCTACTTATTGCCCAACTGGTTTCTGAGATTGTACAGTCTGTGGCAAACGCTAATATTAGTATGATTGAAATTGCGTAGACTTTCGAAAACACTAGTATTAGTATGATTGACGTAGAGGCTGTGACAAATGCTAATATATGACTGAGATTGTAAAGACCATAACAATGGAAATCGTATAGTATGGTTGACCTTGTGTATGTCATGGCAAATGCTTTCCAACCTGATCACAGTGCCTTTTCTCTCTCTTACACACACAGAGTATCCATGTTCTGGCATGCTGGGCATGGTCTCCGGCCTCATCACAGATGACCAGATCACTGTCTCCTCTCATACTGACCGCAGCTGGGTACCGGAGAACGCCCGTCTGCTAACCAGCCGCTCAGGCTGGACATTGCTGCCCCAGCCGCAGCCCTACACTGACGAGTGGCTCCAGGTGGACCTAGGTCAAGAGAAGCTGGTCCGTGGACTCATAATCCAGGGAGGCAAATATCGTGAGAACAAAGTCTTCATGAAGAAGTTCCGCTTGGGCTACAGCAACAACGGCTCCGACTGGAAGATGGTGATGGAGGCTAACGGCAACAAACCCAAGGTGAGGAGTAGGAAAAAAAGAGGAGAAGTGGGTGGTTGGATGGCTGGAGATCCAGAAAAGTACAGAAAAGTAAAGAACCAAAAGTAGTTCTTCTAAGGCACTGATCAGATAATCCTTTATGGCTCCTTTTTTAAGAGTATAGACTTCAAAAAGTTAAATGCATTTCATTTCTAGTAAATAGGATAAATGAAAAACAAGGAAGGAGGACTTGCAGCAGCTGATAATAAATGCATTAGTGGAGCATTGATATGACTTTAGCATGTGGCAGCTGCAGCACAAGCAGTAGATCCATCACAGATGGCACCATGCCCTGTTTTAAAGAGGAGCAGAGACTTGACATCAGCCTGTCCTCCGTCTATTCTCTCTCATCCCCCATTCTCTCTCTATCTCTGTATCAGAGCTTGAAGAAGACAGGACGTTAGCGCTGAAGCCCATTAATTCCCTTTCATGCCTTCAACCCCCTCTTCTGGACCTCTGTTATAGTTGGAGCATGTGTCTCCACTTTGTCTCCCTCTCTCCTCATTCTCTCCACCCCCCCCCAACTCATTTTCTCATTCTCCTGTGGTAGCTCAGGCTGGGTAGGAAGTCTTTCTGAGCTGAAGGGAAAGCCGGATGGGAGATTTTAGTGAAGAAGGCGTCCTGCTGCTCTGGAGCATGGTGGTAGCCGGCAGGCTTTTTGCTCGCATGTTCGCTTCAAATGTCAATCAGTGGATTGAGGCCTTTTGTTCTGTTTTATTCCCAGTACTATCTCATTGCTTTTTTCTTTCACAGGGAAGAAGGCAGGGATAAATGTGGCTGAATTTAGACAGCTATGCTCATATCTGATTGATAACAACCCTCTCTCTGTCTTCTTACCTTGGTGCAGCTTTTCGAGGGGAATATGAACTACGATACGCCAGTGTTGAGAACAGTGGAGCCCATCTTGACGCGGTTTGTTAGGGTGTACCCAGAAAGAGCTACGCCGGCAGGCATGGGGTTGAGACTAGAACTCCTGGGCTGTGAGATTGAAGGTAGGTCGAACTTACACCTACACTCCACACTAAAAATTAAAGGTTCTTTGGAGCAACATCAATAGAACAATCCTTTTTTGATTCCCTAAAGAACCATTCAATGGACATTTTTTTAAAGAATCGTGTTCATGAAATTATTTTCAAAGTTCAAAGTTAAAGTCCCCCAGTATAATGTAAAGGTTCTATAGCAAATAAAGGTTACAACCATGCTAGGAACCATCTTATTTTTAAGAGCATATGTACACACAATGGTGTAAATATCTGATCTCATTTGATTCGATTTAGTTATGATTCTTTGGGAAAGGAGTCAGTGCATGATGAAATTTCAAATTTCACCAAAATTTGACTTTATTATTTTGGTATATCTGAATTATTTTTCTAAATTACACTGAGAACAAAAAAAGTAAATGGAGGAATTAAGGATGGGTGATATGGCAACAACATAATATCAATATAGTATCAAGACATTTTCACTATACACGATAAATGTCATGATAGCTAGTTTTTCTGAGGTTTGATACGTTGCAACAAACAAAAAAGTGTTGCCACAAAACCGTGAATACAATTCATAAATTCATTTGTATTGTAACATTTCTCATACTGTGCTGCACTAAATCTAATTAAATAGGATTAATCATATTCTTTTTGTAATTAAATATGTATTTGGTCAGTGTACTTTAATATGCTCAGAAAAGCACACTGTGATATAACCTGAAATAATTTATCACAAAAATGATAAATATTGTCATATTTCTCAGAAGGAACTGTTTACACAAAAACAAAATACACTACATCCTTTTTTTCTGGATTTTTGTTTAAAAATGGCCTGACACTTTTATTTTGGCCAAAATGTCAACGCATACTTTATTGAATACAGTGATAGATTTAATTGATAGCATTCCAATATTGAAACAGATAAAATCAGCTTCAGGTCAATGCATATATTTTTGCACTCCTACTTGGACACATCTGTCTGTGTTGTTTTCTCTATCTCTCTCGTGCTTTTGCTACTTCTCTCTCTCTTTCTTTCATAATGGACTCCCTTCCATATGCAGCCTACATGTTGCAAAGATGCTCAAAACAAGCAAACAAATCAACAGCAAACTGAAGGGCATCTGATTCCAGAAATGAAGCAGCTGGAAATATCTCTCTGTGTGTTCCTATAAGCCTCATCATTAGGAATAAATACAAGTTGATTGAACTAGTATGGATCCACCCATGAGGGTAGAAAGTGTGGCCTGGAGGCTCAGCTTTCACCAGGATCAGCGCAGTTGTCCCGCAGATGTGCCATCAAAGGAAGCCTCCTGCCTAAATAAGCATCAGTGTGTGCCCACTCTAATGACAGGGACTCTCTCCACACTGCAGTGGATTTGGAGTCCACCTGGTGGTCTGGATTAGCCCTGACCCGCTGTCTGTCCCTGTCCTGTCCGACTGTCAGTCTCTGTCTACTAGGGGTTTAAAAAATGCACCACAGTGCATCAATTTGAAGGTGCTGATTCAACTGAATCAATTGTGGAATGTTAGAATCGATTAGAATTGATTTTCATAATATTTAGCACTAATGCTTTGGCCAAAAACAGCTTAGTTTATTAGGTTGGTTGGACAAAACTAAATTATTGTCCTTCAGTTGTCCTTCAGTTTGTTTTGTACCATTTTCACAGGTCAGTTTTCAAGCTAGAACCATGAAACCATATAGAGCTTACATAGGAATAGCGTACTTGTGCTTTCTGGACCAACCATATTTACCAGTGTTAAGTCAAACATTTTTTCCTATAGGAAATGAATGGCAGAATACCATAGCAATGGCCTATCAACACCTTAGCAATCACCTGGGATTCCATTGCAATGGCCTAGTAACATCTTAGCAACCACCTGAAATACTATAGCAACAACCTAGCAACAACGTAGCAGCCACCAAAATATCATAGCAACAGCCTAACAACATCTTAGCAACCACCTGGGATTCCATTGCAACAGCCCAGCAACATCTTAGCGACCACCTGAGATACCATAGCATAAATTGAAATTTCATGATGCACTGAATCATCTCCTGAAGAATCACAGTCAAATCAAATCTTTGTGAGGCCAGAGATTTATATTTGTCTACTATCTGCAGGTCTTTTTTTCTCTTCTTCTTGTCTCTCTCTTATTCTCTTCTTTTTTCCTTCACATTCTCCCTCTCTCTCTCTCTCTGAGCTCATTTGGTTTGTTATGAGAGCGCTCTCTGTTGAGGCAGCGTTAAGTGGATTTACATATTGGCTTTCCTGGAGTCAGTGAAGCCGGCTTATGTAAGCTACGGCATCCCACTGTGGGCTTTAGCTGGATGATGGTGCTTGTTTTCACTGGCAGTGCCAACAAACACACATACGGGCAATTCAAAACAGTTTATATACTCTAAATCTGTGTGTCTGTCTCTTACACAAACATAAACACAAACCTACAGGTTGCCACTCTTGAGAATACAGAATACTTTATGTGCACACGCACATATAATCACTGCTGTGTCTCAGAATCAGCAACTTTATATGAGAGAGAAACAAATGTTCTTAGCTCTAAAATAAAGATGGATAATACAGATTTTCCAATATTTTATGCATATTTCTATTGTTGAGGACAAACTAGTGAAATGGTCTCTTGTAGAGAAACTTACCAACTTAATGCAAATACAGCCCTTTCATGTGCTAAGAAAAATGATCAGTGAACCCAGACAATGTCCCATTTCATGTACTAAATTTCTGTGATGTAGATTTTAGAGGCATTAAAAGCTTCAAATGCCTGCTTCCTATTGCTAACACTACTAACAATTCTAGTTCTAGATTGTCTAGAATGGAGCATTTCATATCAAACCAACCTGAATGACTTCACATCTTTAATTATGCAGAAGTTCTGAAAAATCGCCAGAATTCCCCTTCACATAACAAGATTTTAATACAAGTAATTTTAGATTGTTTATACTGGTCAATCTGTGTTTAGATAATATAAAACAATGCAACTGGTATTTTCAAATGGTGTTTAAAATTTAAAACAGACAAAAAAACGCATCACATTACATCACACTAACAGGTGCTATCAGTAGCTGTGTGGAAAACAGCAGGGTGCTAAGATGTAGCAGGAGGTTTTAATCCACATGGCTTAAATGAACAAGCCTAATACTGCTAACTTCTGACCCTTCAGCCCTCTTAGAAATTTGGCCTCAACTGCCCATCCCCCCCACCACTAGAGACCACTTCCTTTCCTTTCTAGCTCCCTCTCTCCATCCCTCCATCCCTCTCCTGCCTCCCTCTCTAACCTGGGGAAAGCCCGGCAGGCTTAAGGGCCGCTCATTACAAGCTGTGAGTAAACAGAGTGAATCGGGCAGTGAGCCATCAGGCAGTAGGGCACATGCAGGACTAATGAGAGGCTCTCTGCCTCGCAGAGCAGAACCAGGCCCAGGGTGGAGCTCCCCAGCCTGCCAGGGCCCTCAGGAGCACAGCCAAACCAGCACCCACACACACATGCACTGGCCCATATGACACACACACAACCCAGTGCGAGAGACAGATTATTAAGGGGCTCTGGGTTAAAATTGGTTGGTGGCAGTTGGTGTGTGGATTGTATGAGATGGGTCCGAATTTTTAAACAGCCACGAAATCGAATAGCAAGTTAGGCTCTTTAATAATCAGATTAGCTGCTTGTTAGCAGATGTTATGATGTGCAAGAGCATTCTTTTTCATTCTGAACCAACTTAAATCCAGAGTATGTCGATATTAATCTTTCTGAGTGAAAACACAGAATCACAGGCTAGGAGATGAAGGTCACTGTGAAAATTGCATTATTAAAATGCCTTAACAGAAAATGCTATAGACTACTGCAGTTATGCACTTTCTTTGTAAAGTGTCCTTGGCTGTTAAAAAGATGCTATGTTAATGGAACAAATGCTATCTAAAAGGAAACAGGAGGTCACAATACAAACAACACGAAAATAGTCATTTTATGACCAGTGAATCTACACGTCTTCTGAGCTTTTATATGTAATGTTGCAACACCCTGCATGTACCTCTTTGCCAATAACAGACTCAAAAAACATGTTTTATGCCAAAGCCTTACTGTAAACCTATCAGAAAACAATGTCTCAGGCATCAAGGGATATATTCTGTAATAGTTTTGTGTAATCACTTTGTGTAAGGGGGTTTTTAGAGGCTCCTCTAAGAGGTTTTAGAGGTTCCTCTAAGCACCACTGTAAAAAGTTCTGACTTGGTACATTTCTTTAGAATGGACCCTTTCACATCAAACCAGTCTGAATGCTATTGGTTGAGGTGTAATGACTGAATCATGCAGAAATAATGAAAAATTGATGGAATTCCCCTTTAAAAGTTAATTTTTTAAGTTAATTTTAAGTTAATCTTTTCTCTCTCGTTTTTTCTCTGTAGCGCCCACCATGCCCCCCACCACGCCCGCTCCTCCCACCACCCCGTCAGACGAGTGTGATGATGAGCAGGCCAACTGTCACAGTGGAACAGGTGATGACTACGACCAGACAGGTGCTACCACCAGCCTGCAGAAACTGCGCCCTTTCTCACCACACTGCACAGTGCAGAACTGCAGCTCTCGCTAACACATTATTAGACTGCAGAAGCAGCTCAAACTTTCCAACTCAATGCAAACACAGCCTTTTCATCTGCCATCATTTTTCTTTCTTACTTTCACATTCACCTCTATCAACTGCCCTAGCCATGCTAATCTAAATACACAATACATGTTTTCCCACCTCTTAGCTCCGCCCACTTTGACCCTCTCACTCATGCTTGCCTGAGCCACTGACCTCACCTCCTGCACCTGACTTTTGTCTCCTGCACATGTTCTGCTGTGTCCTTGCTTCTGTTTTCTCTCTGATCTATAATGCTAAGAAATGTAGTCTCCTGCTAACTGAATGAACACATGCTCCTGCTAAATGTCATTTCAGTCAGTTTGCTTCCACATACACTTTCTCTATCCTGTTAACTGCAGCCGCACTGTGTTGCACTGTTAACATTCTTCTGTAGCCTACAAAGAAAATGTTAAAGATTATGATTGTGTGGACTGTTGCAAAGGCTAATACTAGGCCTTTCTTTCACAATGGTCTTTCTGAAAAAGCTAAACAGCTGTGAGCTGTAGCATACAATATACACTGTATGCCCAAATGTATCCAGACACCCCTTCTATATAGTGAATTCAGATCATTTAAGGTGCACCCATTGCTGACACACAGGGTGCGTAATCTCCATAGAAGCCTTTGCCAAAAGAATGGGATGATCTAGAGCAACCACACATGAGCCTAAGATCAGTGTGTGAAATACCCCCTGATATTCAGGGAGTCCCATGTTAGTTGGAGATGATGCTAGCTTCAATGACAACAAAATGTTTTGTTCTGGAAAAGCTCTTTTCTAGTTTGGTAAAGTTGTCTTCCATATATTAATTGAGATCTTACACATCTACTCTTTAGTCTTCTGTTTGAGAAATGAGTAACAATTCATTCTTTTCACCAAACTCTTGGAAAATTGGGAAAGTTTTCAGATTTACAAATATGCTCTGGCATTTTGTAAACCAATTTCTACAGCGCCACCCTGAGGCAGACCAAGGTGCAGAATCTCTAGTTAGTTAAGACTACCAAAGACAGAAGCTCACTGATTGTGGGTGAAGCAGTTACCTTTTTTCTGAATTTGCATTTAAGTGTTTATTTTTCCTTAATGGTCAGCTTAATGTCACAATAAGTTTATTTCAAGAGCCCTCCCTGAATTTTGATTTTGAGATATCCAGGGGGTCCAATTATGAGTTTAATTAGGGAGTTCCAGACCCCTTCAGGACCCTCTGTATTTCGCACCTTGCCTATGATCATCATGCCTAAGCATCAGAGGGGCCCCCCCAGCACTGGGCTGTAAATTCTCTGTGAATTCTCTCTGGGGTGATAAAGCACCATTGGATACCTTTTGGAAGAGCTAGAGTGGCATTTGTGGTCCAGAACTAATCATCCAACATCAGTACCTGACCTGACCAATGCTCAATGCAATCAAACCCTCACGTTTCAACATCTAGTGTAAAGCCTTTCTAGAAGAGTAGAGGTCATTACAACAGTAGAGAGGACAAATTCCCTATTATGTAATACCTTTATTTCAGAAGAAACACTGGATGAACAGGTGTCTACAAATGTTTGGACATATAGTGTATGTTAAAATCTAAGATGTTCAGGTCAGCAATTTTTAGCTGCGTGTCTGATTTAATGTTGTTTTTGGCCCAGGTGGAACTACTATGCCCGAGACCACTACAGGGCTGGGCACCATACCAGGTAAGACTCAACTAGCTTTAACTTTGCAGTTCACTACTACTCTGTTACTGCTGTACTTCTGTCCATTACTCTTCTCCCATATTTACCCAGCATCACCTAAGGAGTCTGTTTTTGGCTTACGTCTTAGATTAATCCATAGCAAGCACAAATAAGTAACCTTTGGACGGAACTGTTTGTGTGAAACTCTGTGTTGCGTAGCCGTTAATGAGCATCGTTCTAATTTTGCTTGTTCAGCATAATCGCTGATTAGCCAGGCGAGACTGCATGCTAATGGCCAAAGCCTGACTAGCAGAGCAACGCCCCTTATCTGACTCTCACTAATTAAGCTGTATGTGTGTGTGTTGGAGAAAAGTAGAGCGTGCGCCTGTGTGGTCTTGACGTGTTAATACCGAAAAGATCTGCATGTTCCATTCTGGATGTGGTTTATTGATGACGTGAAACATTCAGAACGTTTTTGACTGTGGTGAAGCTCCTTCATGCCCAGATCCTTCCACTACTGCAGCCCAAATCCTCTCAAAAATGGAAAAAGAGAACTAACTTTTAATTGGAAGCTGCTATTTTTTGTGGGACAGTGGCAGAAAGCCTGAGCCGTGGTTTTTAATGGGAAATTCTTTCCTCTTCACTGGGCAAATACCCTGCAAAAGCCACTCTGAATCCTTATGTTATTGCATTTTATACAATCTGAGAGATACAGAGACCACAGTAAAGACAATGGCAAAGCTAAAATATGTTTTGTTTTTTGAATTTTCACAATCACTTCTCCCATTTCTTCCTCTCCTGCTCACTGTCACATAGGAAAGAGAGCATGCTGCATTAAAATCTCAATTTCACACCTTCTGCCTGTTTCATCAACATTATGCACTTCTAAATATCACTCACAGTATCTTCTGTCTACACATTCAGTAATAGCTTTGAGATTTTGAGGAATCAGTTTATTTGTATTATTTCTTTCATTTTTAAAAAAGCTACCTACTGCCCCCTGGTGGACATATGTAATAAAGCTGTTCTGCAGCTCAGATGTCTTACCATTATGAGTTAGACCAACAGAAACCCACTAAATAATATCAAATAAAATTATAATAAACAAGATTGCCAACATATTGAGTAGATGTTTCATAAGAAGACTAGGAGTATTTCTAAGCGTACATGCCTGTGTGTTTTTGTAGCATTCCTCTGGTTTGCTTGTGACTTTGGCTGGGCGAGTGACCCTTCGTTCTGTGGCTGGACGTCCGAGGAAACAGGCTACAAATGGCAGATCCAGTCTAGCGGCACTCCAACACTCAACACTGGCCCCAACATGGACCACACAGGTAAGAGACAGAAGAAAAAAAAAATACACGGTTTAGTGGAGTAATAGCCCAGTATGCTTAATTATATAATGTGATACAGAGAAAAACACAATGTAGAATGCATTCTCTCAAATTCCTCCAGCCCATGTTAAGCTCTTCCTGTCTCTCTCCAGGCGGCTCTGGGAATTTTATCTATACACTGGCGACTGGAGCGCAGGAGACAGAGGTGGCCCGACTTGTGAGTCCAGCAGTGACCAGCCAGGACTCAGACCTGTGTATGTCATTCTGGTACCACATGTTTGGCTCGCACATCGGCACACTGCACATCAAGCTGCGAAAGGAGAGCAGCCAGACTGTGGCTGACGTGCTGCTGTGGACGGTCAGCGGTCACCAGGGCAACCGCTGGAGAGAAGGCCGTGTGCCTATACCACACTCAAGCAATCCCTACCAGGTGAGTGTGAACGAAAGGGCTGGAAATATTAAAACTATAATGCATTATTTAGTTGCTAAAACTATTTCCAGAAGTTTTTACAGTGTTAAGGATTTACAGCATAATCTTATTTGAACAAAAACTGCTGATAGCTAAACCTAGTCAACTTACAGAACACAACCCTGCTCGATATGCAAGGCTTGCGCTCTAAGAATGTTCTGAAAGCAGCAGCAGGTTTTAAGATTTCGGTAGGACAAGAATCCAGTAGAGTTGAACGTACATGTGTCCGCTGACATATCTACAACGCTATCATGTTTGTCTGTTTGTCAGGTGGTGATAGAGGGTGTGGTGGAGAGGAAAAGCTGGGGTGACATTGCTGTAGATGACATTAAAATCTTAGACAATCTCAACATGGCTGACTGCAAAGGTGAGTGGGCCAACAATCTACTGCAGAGCTCAGACATCAGAAGTCCAGTAACCTGTTGTAAGCCATAAATTTAACTGGTTTGAGAGCATGAACTGGCAGATTATTAGCATGTAACACTTCTTTTATTGAATATTTCTTTTTTTGTATGTGCCTGTAGACCCAGATGTTCCTACAGAACCCATGCAGCCTGAGGATAACTTCAATGAGATCAGTAAGTGTATAATTAAAAGTATTAAAAGTATAATTATATTGGTAAAACTGAAAAAGGACTGTTTTCCATGATACAGATGCAGAATAGTGTGATTTATACATTTAAATTAAGCGTATTTTCACATTTTGTACTTATAACTGGTTTCCTCGCTTTCCAAAAAAGTTGTCCAATCAAATTTTGCCATCCAGAAAAAAAAATGACTGTTTAAACAGTATTTCAATTAGAACTTCACCTAAGCAGTACTGTTCCTCAGTAGCTGATGTTCTACTCTTCTTTTTCCACTCTCTAGTTGTCGACATCACAGATTTTCCAGAGAGCGTGGAGAACACCGAGATCACCGGAGCAGGGAACATGCTGAAGACTCTGGACCCCATCCTGATCACCATCATCGCCATGAGCGCGCTGGGGGTCTTCCTGGGGGCCATCTGTGGTGTGGTGCTCTACTGCGCCTGCTCGCACGGCGGCATGGCCGACAGAAACTTATCAGCTCTGGAGAACTATAACTTTGAGCTGGTGGATGGTGTGAAGCTAAAGAAGGACAAGCTAAACTCACAGAACTCATACTCAGAGGCATGAGGCGCCAACCAATGAGAGAAAACCTCTCCTCAGGGGCAGGGGGCGGGCTAAAATGGACTGCCGCCGCCCTTCCATTGAAGGAGGACAAGGCTCTGAGGTTCTGGGAACCAATTTGGGAGGAGAACTTGGACTGAGCCATGCTTTTCTCAGGAGCTGCAGTGACAGAACCTACCAGTAGGGGGACACTGTGTACAAAACATTGAATATGAGGATTAAGAAAATGAAACAAAAGAAATATGTACAGATGATTTAGATGATTATTTTAATTTTTTATTTTATTATTTTGTATTATTTTTAGTTGCTCATTTCTACAATCGGATGCTGGTGTTGAGACCAATATATGAAAAATGTTATACGTATTTATCTTTTTTTTTTCTTTTGTCTGGGAGGAAAAAATCTAATCAATTTTTTTAAAAATGTTGTTGTTTTTTGTGTTTAAAGGAGATGTGTAACAAGAAAAATCCCAAATGAACCATGGCTGATAACGGTGGGGGTGTTCGGCCCACGGTGGAACAAGTATATGGTTTGGATTTGTTGGATTTCAGCTGTGGTTCAGTCAGTGCCTTTGGTACATCTTTTTTGGCCTCCTCTGTTGATTTTATACATCCCTTTAGTTCTGGAACAAACAAACAAAAGAAAGAAAGAAGGAAAGAAAGAAAAAAAAAACGGAATATGTTGGTCACATCTGCAAAACATGACCCGGTTTATTCATTGCGCTTTAATGTTGAGAGCTCACATATTGTACATACGTTTTAATATATTTTATTGCCCTTTTCGAAGAAAACAAGTAAAAGGACAAAAAAGAAGCTGCAGTATCCCTTTTTTCTTTGGTTGTGTGTTGTAAATACAATCGTCCGACTGTTTTGTGAAAGTGAAAAACGTGTGCTATTTCCGTCCTGTTGGGTTATTTTGCCACCCTCCCCAGAGATGCAGCTCATATAAATGTAAAAACTGGTGGTTTGACAAATCCAGTGCTCATACTTACATGCACACAGACACAGTGACACTCATTCTCAGACAAGACTCTTCTGATGAACCTCTCTGTGCACATTTTCCATGGAACATTACTGATGTTCATCCTTAAATGTTTATACTTTGTTCTACCTTAGCCTGGATATTGTAAACGTTCATAGACAACAAGGTCTGTTATTAGACCCAGTGGAATCTCGAGGAGGGAAAAGCAGGCCTAACTCTGATCTCTGTTTATGTCTCTCTTTATAACTCTCTGATCAAGTTCTGGATGTCTGTCAGCATACCAAAAAAAGAACAACAAGCTCATCATCGCCTTGCGTTTGTCTGAAATAAGCTGCCACCTGCTCCACCCCCAGTTCTGCCCCCTCTTCAAAGTGCTTCTTACGCCGTCCTCTCACCTCAAACGCACTTTGTCGTCAACTTCGGGCTACGCGTCTTGAATGAGACTCACGAATGTGGGGGTGCCTAAAGAATGGTGCTATTTTCTTCATTGTAGCGCATCTCCCATCGCTGGCCTCATGTTCAGAACTGCTATCTCATGCTCTTGTGTCTTCGCTGATGTCGCACCTGGTACAGAGAGGTTGACTGGTCTGACGGAGGCTGAGTGGTCACCTGGTCGGCCTTGCGTTTGATGTCATAGCCTTGTGTCTGTACCAAAGGACTGTCACCCCGAATTAAAGGGGGCCACACTGTCCACTATACATGCACCACCTACAAGGACCCATCTCATCTTTAGCAATTCTGATGATGCACTGGACTTCAGGAAGAGACCACACTAAAGACTTACTGCTGATACAGAATATGAAACGTGAAATATCGTATGCTGGGCCGCCATTCGCCATCATTTTGTCACTTGCATTGGCAAAAGAGCACTGGTCATCTTTTACGAGCAAATCCCTAAAACCTAAGAGCGTCATACCACATGTAGTATAACCAACAAGGCTCCACCATCCCCACCCACTGGCTCATGTTTTTAAGGTTTCTAGGTATGTTTATGTGCTGTGTTGTGTTCTGTGGCAAAGAAACACTCATTCTCTCTTCATTTCCCTCCAGTAGTTTCCAGATTCAAGCCCATGAACCCATTTCTCAATGCTACATGTGAGTCGGCTGAAGTTAGAGGGACGAGCTTCAGTAAGGTTTCATGAAGAAAGCATACTGTAGCGTCAAGAAAAAAAAAGAAAAGAAACGATGTTGCACTGATAGATATATTTAAAGAAGTTTATGTGTTTATAGCATTCATTTGTAAAAAACAAAATCGGAATTAAAAAAAAGACGGTGTTCTTTTTTTTATTAGTTTCAGGACATAGAATATGATTCTGAAATATACGGTTATCGAGATGTTTTCATTATTGAAAAAGGTATACAAATTTCCTATAGTAAAAAATTCCCATTTACCTGATCGATTATCTCTTCATTTTTGTACTGTCGTTCAAATTTTGTGCTGATTTTTTTTACAAGAAGAAGAGGAAAAAGAATCTTTTATTTTCAATACTGCTTCTGTAATTGCTGTTGTAGGAAGAAAAAAAACCTGAATAAAACAGCAAGGCCTTAAAAACTGAAATCACTGTTTTGTATTTCCACATCTGCATCACGAAAAGAGAACCGCCGATGTCTACTGTCTCTGATCAGCTCTGATCAACAGACATTCCAAAGATTCAGATCCAATAAATGTTTTCCTAAGACATACTGTATGTGTTTGGCTTATTATTTGCCATAATATTCTCAGAAAGGGCTCCAATGCAAAGCTACATGTAGTCTCATACAAGTAGTCTGTGTAGATATTATAAGAGCATTGGGCCTCATTCACCAACCGTTCTTAAGATGAAATTTCTTCTTAAAACCCACTTACACAGTTTTCATGAACAATCTGACATTCACCAGTGTTTCTTATTTGGGATTTGTTCTTAGCTAAGAACAGAGTCTACACACACTTAAGAGCACAAAGGTGAGAACAATTCTGTGGTTTAAGAACACGTCATGAATCTGACGTAGACTTTTTCTTAGGGTCTTTCTCAAGAACAAATTTAGGAAAAAACTTAGGAAGATATCGGTGAATGAGGCCCAATGTTCTTAAATGAAATTCTGTTCAATACATTGTTGAAAATGTCTGTCTATTTAAATGGTTAATGGTGTAAACAAAGTCTTTCAGAGTGGTTTGATGTGAAATGCTCTGTTCTAGACAAACGTACTGAGTCAGAACTGTTCACAGTGGTGGTGACAGGAACCAGACGTCTGAGGAGTTTAATTCTTTATTCTGAACGTGTTACATGTAATCACGTATTTTGGTTTTTTTTTGTGTTTGTGTCTCTCTCCTGGTCTCTCCCTTCACAGGTGTACCTGTTTTGCCATCAGTCATGTGAGGAGCACCACTGACCAATCAGAGGCCTGGCTGGTATAGTTGGGGGAGGAGACTAAGCTTTAAAAAGAGGCCTTCAGGATGGATGAAGAATGGGACTGATCATGTGTGTGCTGTGTTGTAGTTTGTGTTTTACTATCTTGTGTTGAAAGTGTGCTTCTTTACGAGACCTCTGTGTTAGGGGAGGTACTTTAGTTTTGGTAGTTTACTTGCAAACTTTTAACTTTAGTTCTACATCAGATTGATTATTTGTACCATCTGGGGTTTCAAACATGTAAGAAGGGCACGCTTATACTTTCTCACCACATAGAAGTCTAGTTCCCTAGGTCAGAGGGTGGGCACCGCCACATGTACTTGTGATTACTGATGATATCTCTGAATGTGTTCATCCATCCTCTTCCTCTCTTACCTACAACGTCCAAAATAAGCTTCAATTTGGTCAGCTGGGCTTTGAGTGAGAGGTGAGGCTTGATTTGTTCAAGGATCCATTTGTTTGTTTTCTTTGCTGTCCAAGGTATTCTTGAAAGACTTCAAGACCAAAGTTCAAAGGCATCAATATTTTTCCTGTCCTGCTTTCTCACTGTCCAGCTTTCACATCAATACAGAAAAGAATACAGGCTGGACCATTCTGATCTTTGTTTGTAGAGACACATCATCGTATTTCAACATCTTCTGAAGTTTCTTCATCCTAGTTCCAATCTGTGTCATATTTCTTGACTGCTGGATTCTTTGTTGTTAATAACTGATCCAAGTAAGCAAAAGCTGTCCACCACGTCTACATTTGCACCATCAGTGGTAAAGTTAGTGCTCTAGCCTGTTGCCATAACCTTCGTTTTCTTCACTTTGAGCTGAAGTCTTTTCACTCTGTTCTTTAACTTTATAATATATAACGGCCTCTAGGTCTTCCTGACCTTCCGCTATGAGTGTCGTGTCCTCCACATATCAAAGGTTATTGATGTTTCTTCCACCAGTACTGAACCCTTGATCATCTTCCTCCAGTCCTGCTTCTTTCATTTTATCTTCAACAAACAGCTTGAACCTGTATGGTGATGGTGTGCAGCCTTGTCTTACTTCTTTGCCGATGTGAAGCCAGTCTTTTTGTCCATTTTCTGTCATGACCTTGGCTGTTAGTCATTGTTGAAGTTCCTAATTAGAACAATGAGATAAGAACAGGAGAAAAGACAAAATAATGATGTAATTTTTTTCTCCATTTTGACTGATTATTTTAAAACTTCACTAAATCAGTTTTTGTACCTCAGTAATCTCCTTCATATAGGGTAAATACTGTAAATGTATTCTGTAAAATACTGTAAATGAGAGTTTTCATGTCAGTAATTTGTGCTGTTATGGTTATTGAAAATGACTTATTCACTCACGTCTACAGTGGTTTACACTGCTGCCACTTTCCTTGAAAAAGAGCTAAATCTTGGCTGTTTCAACCAAAAAGGGGGCAGAAATTAAGGGACATTAATTCACAATAAAAGACTATATTCACAACCCAAATGAATTTAGAGAACACAGATAATACAGCCACAGATGAAATGAACCTGCCTGCATAATAACAGCTGTATTTTCAAACACAATGCAGGAAGCAGCACGAGTACAGATGAGATTGTTGACTGTCATAAGACTCACCCAGCTCTCCTTTACCAGTATTAAATACGATGCAATGATATCACAAGTCACGACTAGCTAGCGAGCTACAAGGCTAAACAACCAGACTGAGGGATGGCTACTAACTTGTAAAGCAAACTGTGTCTATTTCTCATATGCACTTAAGTGTCTACAACTGACTGCATTTCATTTTAATACGTTTGTAAAAGGGACCGAAGCTCTACTACCAACTTCGGCAACACGACGTTCATCATGTGCACAGAGCGCTGTGAGCGGTTCTGCTGCTGTGAACCGATTTCATCCTGCAACTTTTGGAAGAAACCAATATCGTAGGGAAAGGGGGGAGGGTGAGTTTTAGAGGTATCGTCTATGACACAGTTGGAAGAATGACCCATAATATAAAATGACCAAAACGCCGTAGTATAAAAATTAACAGTAGTAAAATAAAATAAAAACATTTAAAAAATCAGATATCAAAAATCTGGTGGGGCATGCGCGCGCCCCCCACATTCACCAACCCCCCCCAGCCCATACTTACTATTTCTGAAGACGTTCCATAGTGTTACGTGAACACAGGGAAAACTTTGCTGCAGTCAATGAAACACACGTTGACGTCCTTCTTGAACTTCTTGGCTTTCTCTTAATTATGCAGCATACAGTTTCCGCCATTTCATACACCCGTCAGTTAAGATCAGACTGGACCCTAACACTGAAAGCGAACTGGTAGATGTGCAGCACGCAGGAAAGCAGAGGAACAAGATATATTATTACTGATTTACCTTGGACATTATCATTATTATTATTATTATTAGTAGTAGTAGTAGTAGTAGTAGTAGTATTATTATTATTATTATTGTTATTATTGTTGTTGTTGTTATTATCAATGGTGTCAATAACTCTGAAGGACTATGTAATACCTTCTTCAAACACCAGAGGTCACTTTTTCACACGTTTGCTCTCCATCTCAGATGCATGCATTATTGCCGTCGCAGTTTTTAAATATTTGCCCAATAAACTGAGCTCCATGATGGAAGCTTAAATCTCATTATTAATCACGGCACCGTTTATGAGGGGGCATTTACTATTTTGCAGGTTTTAATGTGCACTTAATACGGGCGGGTAAAATAAATAGATATTTGCGGCCAGTGGTAATGGAGGAGTGACTGATCAATAATTAAGCTGTTTGAGATTGTATTAAGAGAAGTGTGATGGGTGATGTTTGCTTTGGCTGATAATGAGATGTGGTCAGATCAGCGATGAAGTCAAATAATATTAAAGGGCGCTCAGTATGAAATAGGAAGGTGACAATCATTTTCCAGGTGTAGGTTTTCATGCTGAGTTGAAGGCCCTGAAAATGTGAAAGTGACTTCTCATTCACTTGTACACTCAGTCCTTCATCCATTCTCTCATCCCATCTCCCAGCTATTGACTTGCTCACTCTGTTGTTTTCTATTCGTCCTTTTCCCATCTGGTTTTATGGTGTTGATTAATAAGAGACTTGCTATAATATAATTATAATAGCTATGAAAATAACTGTATGATTGTGGAGAGCAGTGCCTGAAGGACTGACATTCACTTACTGAACCTGATCTGCAAAATTGTGGTCAGGAGTGGACGATAATGGAGCTGATATGTGGAGCCCTGAGTCCTAAGCCTTGTGGTTAACCTCCTCCACACAGTTGTGTAATATGCAGGCTCTGCAAGCACCATTCCCAGCAAGATTGTTAATGATCAGTCGTAGTAGTTTTTGTAAATGAGCTAATTTGCTTATCTGCAGCGGCTCCATTCAGATTACAAGCATAATGCAGCTCAGTAATGAAATTCATAAACAAATGCATTTATCTTCTCTGCCATTTTTGTCAGACAGCTGTAAACAAGGCCCTTCACCATGGTCAGTCCTCACCTGTATCTCAAGAAATGTTGGCCAACAGGCCGCTACTGATTCTGCATTCATGTGGTCATGGCTGAAAAGTGCAATAAGGGCCCTTGTGAGTATTCCTTTGAACGCCAGTGTGAGAAATGAGACACCATTTGAGACAAGGTTTTACTAAAAGCTACAAAACATGTACTAGAAATAAGAAACTGGAAGAACTGCCAAACTATTAAACAGACTGATTATATTACTGTTCCTAACTCTTTCAGAACTAAATCATGTTCCAGGGTCATAAACAGATGTCCTGTCCTACATGCAACCATAAAAGATAATC